TGCTTTGGATTGTGCCTCAGCGGTACATCAGTACGGATTATAGTGTCTGCCAAATGAATAAATGCAAATGGGCTGTTGTCACCCAGACTTCAATCAGTGGCAAATGAAGGACTGATTTATCATTTCTATCCAGAGAGGCAGCTACATCCTGTGGAGATGCAAAGATATTCCTTCCTAAGACTGAAAACCTCCCACACATCAGTAGGTTGGCACAAATGCATCACGGTTTGAACATAGATTTAGAGTATGAATCAGGGCCAACAACTCAATTGCACTTGTCTAAGATCTAACCTGGTATTACAGTCCAAAACAAGCAGGCTTTGTTTACTCTCTGAATTCACTCTTCAGTAGCAAGAGGGTTTAGATGAGGATTTTTGTATTAAACGAAGATGCTTAGAAACAGCCATCTTGAATACTGAAGCTGTCAAACTTGGGTACAAGTTTTCTGAATTTGGACTATTTTCCTTGGAAAGTTTGGCAAAAGATTGTTCGGAAGCAGTCAGTTTCATTCCAACATATGATTTTTGCATCTGTAACTCATTTGGTATGCATAGTAAAGGAAACTGGATGCAAATGGACCTGCTTTCCCATTTTTCCTTCACAGCAATACAACCAAAGTAGGTCGTCTTGCATGTTTTAGAGTTGGGAGACCTTTTACACCTTTCAGGATTCCTCTCCTGACAAAAAAACAAAGAAATTAGTCTCTCCTCCCAGGATCAAAGCAGGGATCGTTTGGTTGTTAGAGGAATGTGCAAACTGCTACACAGCGGAGCTGTTAAAGGAACTACCATGCAGTAAAAACAACAATAACAACAAAAAAGAAACCCACAAATAATATAAATGTGTGGAAGTACAGGGCAGGTCCTCTTCACAAAAATGTAATCATGAGATTGGCAGTTAGAGGTTAACTTTCATAAGAAGTTCTCAAATGTGTACAAACGTTTCAGTTTGAAAGTAAAGATGTTATTTACTTCTCTCATCCAAGCTGCCGGGGGCAGACGCGGCGCTTGTGTTGGCCTTGGGTGACTCGTGTCTACTCCTCCAGAGTCAACATAACCTTGCTGAACGTGAAAAGCTTGCTAAGGGCTGCTGACCTACTGCAGTTTTGAGCAGTGAAAGGGGCCTGAGAGGCCCTCCTGGTTGTGGACAAGTGCTTCAACATGCTAGCATTCTCTCAGCTCTATGCGCGCCCTCCTGCTGGTGAAAGAAGCCCACAGGCTGCTAGCAGGCAGGTCAGAGATCAAATCTCTATTCTGCTTTCCTCTCTTTAACATTTTGTCAGGTGTGGAAATTATGTAGCAGATGGATCTTTTGGTTTCAAGGGCAACTATATCTAAGAAAAGGTGTAAAGTTTCACAGTGGATTTCAACCACCATAATATTACCCGCATCCACGTAGCCGTGTTAGCAAATCTAGTCACAAAAAACAAATAGAAAAGACAAACTTATCTGAGATTTGTTTAGCATTAAGTGCCTGCTCTTGACTGTATGTGCAAAAAGACACATTACTTTTAATTGAACCTTTTTATTAAAATAAATCTATGATTGTCATGCTGTTGCTCCCTGCAGAGTGTGGGATGTGCCTGGTGTCTTTGAACAGCAGGCTGCGCATGGTAGGGGGCCAGACCACCCTCACTGAGTGCTTCAACCCAGACACAGAAGAATGGATCCCACTTGTCAGCATGAAGGAGAGAGGGGTAGAGTGCAGGGCGGTGACCATGCTGGGCTGCGTGCAAGTCACGGGGGTTTATTCCTCCACTAAAGGGACCTACCTGCAGCGCATAAAGAAGTATGACCCTCATACACAGATACAGAATGTGAGAAATCGTTAGAGATGTGCCTGGAGTGTAAATTTGCACGGCTGTATCTGAGTTCATGATGGTACATTATGTGGATGGATCAGACCATACTGAATTGCAAAAAAAAAAAAGTAAGTTTAATCAATCACGCACT